AAATCAAATCATGAGGGTTGAGAAGGACAAAATTAGAAAGAAAACGAGCGGCTTGGCCTTCTATTTATAGGAATGATTCTGACACTATTCATGACATTGTTAATAACATTATTCACGTCCATATGTTGCTCCCAGATTGTGCCATGTGTACTTTTGTAGGTGCGTTGGGTGGTCCTCGTGCTACCACGTGGCAGCTTGGCAGCCCAATGTTACCAGTTGCCTTCTATTTTCTTGTTTTTTTCGGATAATCGTAACTTTTTTATACGAACTCCGTTTTCGACATTTTTTAATTCAAGATTTCGTATTTTAGTCTACTACAAATTTCCTTTAGATCTCAACAACTAAATCATACTATATTTTTACTTTATATTTTTTAATGAATAAGATTGAACGTGTTGTATCTTTGAAAAATCTTAACTTCTTTATAAAAGCTCCGTTTCTGACGTCTTTTATATCCACAATCTCATATTTATGTTTATCACAACTTTCATTTACATTACTCTCAATAAAAAGTAATATATATTAGTGTTGTAAAATTCATCGAGTTAGCCGATTACTCCTCCAAGTACTCGCTACTCGACCCCTTACCGAGGTGAGTTACAGAATCTCGAGTACTCACCAATCTACCCCTTAATGAACTGAGAATCATTGTAAAAATCGGTCAACTAGGTGATTAATATGTATAATTTACCTAATGATTTATTATTTAATACATACATGTGATTATTACTACATATATATCTTAAATTTTCAATTATTATTTACGAAGTGATATCATTATGTATTTTTTAAGTTTTTGTGTATTCACACATATCTAGTTTTGTTATATAATTCAATCAACTTATGATTTTAACCTATGATTTTGACATATGTAATTTCCTTAAAAATATTTCTACATGAATTACTGAATCCGAGTACTTCCCGAGTACTCGCTACTTGATAGTCGGCCGAACAGTTACCGAGCAACGAGTTCTACAACCTTGATATATATATATATATATATATATATATATATATATATATATATATATATATATATATATTCACTTTCCTATTTATAACTCAATACTATGTTTTATAAATCTTTTAAATTTCTATAATAAAATCCATATTATTTACTAACATTATTTGTAGTCTTAGTAGAACAAACTTAAATATTATTTACATATTAATACTATTTATTTGATACATTATTCTAAACAAAATCACTCCCTCAAACTCTAATTGCTCTAACTGACGTAGACAAGTCAACTCAGTCTACCACTGACGATTCAACTCGGTCTACCTCTGATGAGTCAACTAAGACTCAAGATGTTGAGTCAGAGTCAACCATTAGAAGAGCCCAAGATTGTAATTTTCTCAAAGGATGTTCGTGGTTCAAAAGGCCATTTTTTAGGTCAAAATGTCCCAAGAAAGTAACAAATAAGTTTTGGGTTATAAGAAAACATGTCCATAATCAAAGAATTTTGATGTAATGGTTGAAAGAAGAAAAAGAGAGGTTCAGAAATATGGAGTTGGCATCTCTTCAACTGGTCAGAGACATTCTAAAAAAAAATAAAGTTTAGATCAACACACACGAGGAATAGAAAACACCAGAAAAAGAAGGTATAGGTTCCTAAGATGTTGTATCCTGAACCAATCATGTTGAAACAAATTTGGGTTATCACGAAAACATCGGTTAATCTTTACACAGTTGAGATTTTACCTGGAAAAAACTTTCATCCTGTTGCGAAGATTTTTTAGAAATAAAATGACACTGTAGTGGCTTTTTGTAAATTAAATGACTAGTCATTGATTTTCTTGAAAATAGAAAAGATAATACTCGTTGTCTCTGGATATACATATAAAATGCAATAATATTATTCTTCTCATAAAGAATAAATACAATAATATTATAGTAAAATAATACTTTCAATTTGATATAAATTATCTAGATCAACTAAAAAAACACAACATTATAGTAGAAATACAATAATATTATAGTAAAAATATATATAACAAAATAAGATTATAATAAACTAATATTCTCTTATTCGAATTATCTTAGATCAAACGGAGAAAATACGATAATATTACAATTAAGAATGCAATAATATAATATTTCATGTATGGTCTTGATTATACATATTAGATAGATAAAATACAATAAAATTACAGTAAAAAAACACAGATAATAGTTTTGATATTATCCAATCTAGGTCAGATGGAGAAAATACTATAAAATTATTGTAATGCTACTAGCAAAAGTGATAAGATGATATATAAAATTAAAATAATATTATTTTGCTCAGACAAAATGAATATAATAAAATTATAATAAAATGGTAAAATATAATTAAAAAAATAATATAAGATCAAATAAAAAAATTATTTTCAGAATAACCACTATAACCCCTTGACCTATTATTGCAAGTCAAATTCTTTTTTTTTTATAAATTTTACTACAATGTTTTTTTTTCTTCAAAAAAAATAAGGTCATGTTTTTTCATCAATAAGATCAAAAATTTTGCAACTTTACTGAATATTTCTCATAATTTCTCAAGTAATATATGTTCTTAGAAAGTGTTTTTTATTTGAGCCTAAAAATATGTCTATTTAAAAGTATTTTTCCTTAGATTTACTCAAATATATTTACATACAAAAAATACAATTAAAAAAAGGACCGAATAAAAAGTAGTTTTCCAACAATGCTGTATTCAGAATCAGAACTACATACTAAACATAAAAGTAAAACTGTAAACCAGAGAGGGAAAATATATATTACACAAGAAATGTGTATATAATATTAAAGATGGTGTCATATAAATAAACATGAATTTCTTTCTGGTTGACCTTATTTGTCAATTATATGTGATGAATTAAGCACACGTATATATGATGTAGATATGCATCAAAATAAATAATACTTGCTAAGACACGTATATATGATGTAGATATGCATATTGATATATTATGATATAATTTTATATTAAGAATATATTAGAATGGGTTAATTGAATATCAGTAGTTTTACTTTTTTTATCGTTGTGATGTTTACATGTTCGATTCTAAGGAGGAGCAAACCCAAGCATCGACCATGCCTCTCTCTTGGAAGGGTATTAAACGAAGTAAATTGTTCATTTAAAAAAAAAAAAACGGTGAAATCCCCTAGTTATAAATGACTTATTTTGGATTTGAGATAAACAATTGATTTAAAGTTTTAGACTTAACGATAACACTATGAAGGTTTTCCCTTTGTAGTTTCCTACTTTTCCTTCATGTGGACTCTAGAGGAGTTCCTTGCTAAGTGTAGACTGGTTGAGATTTTTAGAATTGAACCTAGAGGATTTGAGTTAAAACATGTAACATAAAGTTATGGCATAAGAAATAATGGTGTCATAATGACTTTTTCTTGAATGACTCGGTTAAATATAAAAAAATGCACTAGGAAGAGGTTAGAGTAAAATAAAAACTACATTAAATGGGTTTTGAAGTCATAAGTTTCGGTCTATGTAAAACTTATGTATTCTATACATAACCAAAAAAAAAAAAACCTGCAACAATATCATCCATGAACATATTATTCTTGGTTTGGAGCTATCAAACACACAGTTATTGCGGAAATTCCATATATTCCACCAAGTCATCAATATAATTGTATCTAACACTATTTTGCAAGGCGTAGATAAACGAAAGGAAGCTGCCACTTATTTCATGTCGTACACCGATGCAAGAGAAGAAAAATCCATGTCACACCAAATCCCCACTCTATCCATGATAGCTTTAGCAACTTAACAATATCAGAACATATGATTAACATTTTCCACATGATCACCACACATAGGATATATAAGTAATGGCTTTTGTGCAACGTCGAAAGGGTCCATATATATATATATATATATATATATATATATATATATATATATATATATATATATATATATATATATATATATATATATATATATATATATATATATATATATATATATATGAGAAAAGTGAATATATATATAACAGCCCCATACAAGCTTAGGTGTGGAACCAAATACCACGTCGTTTTGAGGTTGATTTGCCAATACCCTATTTTCCTACGAAATTCACAATACTCAATTGACGTAGCTTCTCAGTTGAACTTTCAAGATCTTCCTTTATTATTCTATCTTCATATTTAATCGCAATGTCATGATCATCTTCTCCTTTTCGTAATCGCAAGGTAATAATCTTCTTTATTGTTTTTCTAATTGCATATATGAAACCGAAGTCATATACACATCATAACTCATTCAATTCTGAGCATATTTGAGTTCTTCTTTGATTATCCCTTTTGACTTCGACATATATCTTTATTCAATTATCACTTTATTTACTAACCAAATCGTCAAGTAATTAAAAATCACAGTGGCACTTGGCATCATGCTAATTAACGGGGAAACAATATTATACTCAATTAGTGGAGTCCAACTAAGATGCGATCAAAATTAAAAGATTACACACAATTACTTCATGCCATTATAAAACAATAGCTTGTAATTTCACTTTTAAGATGTTGAGTGAGTTCTTATAAGTACTTGTTTTCGGCACTATGTGCAATTTATTAGTGTTATCAAGTAATTAACTTGTAATTTCTTTCTCTTTCGTTCTTTTTTTTTTTTTTAATTTGACAGGATTTCTATTGTTTCCAATCTGTCTTCTCTTTGAAAAATCATTACAGGTAATTAATGGCATTCTGTTCATCCTTTTGTTTAAATTTTAGTGCTTATCTTTTGTCTCATGAGTACTACATACTTTTGCTCATTATTATTTAAAACGGGAAGAAACATAAAATTGTTTCTCTCAACCCTTCCAAAATAGGTTCGAGAACTAAAAAAAACCCTCCATCACTATTTTTTCTTTTCCAAAAAATAAAAACTATCCATTATTCCAAAATCATATTCCAAAAAACAAAACAGAAGGTAAGCACATATTTTTTCCATAAAACTTCTTCCCACAGCATCCAAGAAAATAGCAACCATTCGTCACTGTTTTTCTTGTAACGATGCATCCACCTGGAACAAATTAATATAATTTTCAAAAAAAGATAATCATAAAAATGTAAATTAATATTATAACTACCTTTCTTTTTGAACAACTAGTGGCATAATGACCCAATCCCTGACAGTAAGAACATGTTCGTTTTTTCGGCATTTCTAGAGAAGACTTGATTCTACTTGCATTTTTCGGACGACCTTTCGTATTAGTTGGACCTAGAGGATCTCGGACAGATATCTGAGGCGTCATATTTATTTCTGAAAGTCCCACAGAATAACCTTGCGATGAATTTTCAAATGCTACTGGTTTTTCCTGAATCGTTAGATCATCTAAAAGCTTTATTAATACGTTATTAACTTTTTCTATCTTTAAAAGGGAGAATTTCGCTTGTTCAATTACTTTGGTAAAGTTGGAACGAACACACCATAAAGTGTATGCACTAACCCCATTATCATTGTTCATTTCTTCAAGTCCAATACTATTATTACCCACTTTGTACCTAACATTAAGTGTCCATCGAGGTAAAATATAGTGACTCGGAAGTGTTTCAACATGCCTCTTCTTCATTACATATAGGCAATGTTTGCATAAAATTCCATATATCTCATACTTAGCACAAGAACATATAACATTCATTTGACTAACCAAACGGAAGCTAACAATTCTCCAATATTTTTTATCAATATTCATTTGCCCAACTCGATATGTTATTTCTTCTGTACTTTTGTTTAGAGTCTCATGAGTTAAATTGTTATTGGCTTCCATCCATTCTTTTTTAAAAATCTCAAAAATGTTTCTAGTATAGCACTCACCTGCTTTTGCTTCAATTGGATGCACAGAAGAAAGAACTGCTCTTGAGTTCATTGTCTTGAAGTCCTCATCTTCTTCGGCTGCCCTTCGAGACTTAACTGCTTTGTCATATTGTATTACGAATTCATTCAACATGGTGCTCGAATTGACAAATCCATCAAAAAAGGAATTAATACTCTCACTTCGTCCACTAGTTGTCATACCAGCCAAGAAAATATCTTTAAGAAAGGCTTTAGCCCAATGTATCCGTTGTCTATACATTTGACTTATCCAACAATTATTTTCCAAATTATACTTAATACGTATAACTTCCCATTTGCTTTCAAACTCTTCAATGGTGTCACTATTCACCCAATCTTTATATGATTCTTGAAAATCACTATAACGGGTAACAAATGGTCGAAGGTGATCAGACTCATGCTTTTTAATATGCCAGTCACAAAAGCGGTGCCGAGTGTTTGGAAACACTTTCTTTATCGCAGTACCCATAGCTTTATCCTGATCTGTAATAATTGCCTTCGGATACTTGGTAAACATACATTTTAAAAAATTCTCAAATAACCACTCAAATGTTTCTTCCTTTTCATTTTCTAGCAATGCTCCACCAAAAAGTATAGATTGCCCATGATGATTAACCCCTACAAAGGGAGCAAATGGCATCTTGTACTTGTTTGTCATATAAGTAACATCAAACACAACAACATCTCTAAACTTAGTATATGCGTCTCTTGATCTTCCATCAGCCCAAAAGATATTCCGAGGACACCCATCATCACACAAGTCTACGACAAAATAATGGTCATTATCCAATAATGCTTTATCTTGGAAATGCTTTATAAGTCCATAAAACTCCTTTCCCTTATATTGTTTTCGTTGTTCGGATAAGACATCAACACATTGCTTTGACGTAACATCAACTTCATCTAAAGGTTTCAATGCATTAATAGCCTTTTTAATATGACATGGCTTCAACCCCGATTGACCAAGTTCCACCATAAGAGATTTACATTCCATTGTACGGTGGAACTTCCCATGAGATCTATGCTTCATTACCTTTGTTGGTGTCATGCTTAAGTCATGATTGTATGTGTCATTAAACTTGTCAACAATCCATTTCCCATCCTTTTGTTTTGAAATGCGAATCATTGCTTTGCATCCAGTTCTTACCTCTCTACGATGTTTTATTGTCTTTCCACTTGAATTATTACCTTTCAATTGTTTGAAACCTTCTTTGTTGCATACATATATCCTCCGATAATGCTCATTTGTTGACTTGTTCTTAAATTTCCAATGTTTTCGTGTACCAAAACCATGTAAAAATGAATAGTCATTATAAAATGTATATGCATCATTGGGTGTATCGAAAACCTTTCCAATAATACATGTATCATTATTTTCACCTTCATCACATCCAAGATGCACACCATCATCATTTATTTGCTCGGATTCAGATGTTGCTTCCATATAACCATTTGCATCAATATCTTCATCTATTTGTGTTTCAAACGAATGATCTGCTACTTGTTTTTCTAAATCCATGATGGTATTAGTGTCAATATCTTCGGGTATACCTGTTTCAGAGGGTCGATCTGATACTTGGAGTTCTACCAACATGTGTAAGTATCTGTAAAGTGCCAAAGTATGTAGTACTCATGAGAAAAAAGATAAGCACTAAAATTTAAACAAAAGGATGAACATAATGCCATTAATTACCTGTAATGATTTTTCAAAGAGAAGACAGATTGGAAACAATAGAAATCCTGTCAAATTAAAAGAAAAAAAAAACGAAAGAGAAAGAAATTACAAGTTAATTACTTGATAACACTAATAAATTGCACATACTGCCGAAAACAAGTACTTATAAGAACTCACTCAACATCTTAAAAGTGGAATTACAAGCTATTGTTTTATAATGGCATGAAATAATTGTTTGTAATCTTTTAATTTTGATCGCATCTTAGTTTGGACTCCACTAATTGAGTATAATATTGTTTCCCCATTGATTAGCATGATGCCAAGTGCCACTTTGATTTTTAATTACTTGATGATTTGGTTAGTAAATAAAGTGATATTGAATAAACATATATGTCGATGTCAAAAGGGACAATCAAAGAAGAACTCAAAAATGAATGCGTTCATATAGATTTCGTTATATGTAAATAATATTAAATAAGTGAGGCAGAAAAATTTAATAATGCTCAAAATTGAATGTGTTATGCTGTGTATATGACTTCGGTTTCATATATGCAATTAAAAAAACAATAAAGAAGATTATTACCTTGCGATTACGAAAAGGAGAAGATGATCATGACATTGCGATTAAATATGAAGATAGAATAATAAAGGAAGATCTTGAAAGTTCAACTGAGAAGCTACGTCAATTGGGTACTGTGAATTTCGTAGGAAAATAGGGTATTGGCAAATCAACCTCAAAACGACGTGGTATTTGGTTTCACACCTAAGCTTGTATGGGGCTGTTATATATATTCACTTTTCCATATATATATATATATATATATATATATATATATATATATATATATATATATATATATATATATATATATATATATATATATATATATATATATATATATATATATAATAAGAGTCTTTTTTTCTAACTCGTAGATGCATTTGAGGAGGACCACCCTATTAAACAATCTTGATTCACAAGCCATTATGACTTTTATTAAAGGGTTGGAATATAAAGTTTAATAAGTTCTTTAGATAAACTTGTCAACATTATGACTTTTATTTAAGGTTTGAAACATAAAATTTTATTATTTCTAGAGAAAAATTTGTCACCATGATAAACTTATCTACTTTATGTTTTGTTGTATAGAAAAGCTATTATCGACTTGTCTTCAAAGTGTCATAGTGTTATTCGTATTGCCTAATCAATGTAGAAAAAGTTTTTTTTTTTCGTCATTTAACAAGTAGTCAAGTACTCGAGTTAACTTTCCCGGTTAAGTTTACAAAAGCTTGTGTGTATTTATAAGTCAAGAAAATAAACATGTTTTGCACTAATAGATCATCCAAACACTCGCTTTATACAAGTAAGGTGTAAGGCTACGGTTTAATAAAAAAGTACAACATTGTCGACGTTTTGGCATCAAATTTTAAAGGGGATAATACCATCAAAACTTTAAGTTTGGTAGAAAATATCGGTTTTACCTTTCGATAAATTTTTGGTTCGTTTATGTTGTAAATTTGTTATTTTTTTTATCGGTTTTGTCATATTTACCTGTAATAGCAGGTTTTCAGGTTAACATAAATTATTATTATTATTTTTTTTTATGAAAAAACCCTTAAATTTAAAAATAGTTTGCAAAAAAATATTAAGATTATAAACATATATTCAAAATTTGATAAAACTAAATAGTTTTTTAAAATTTAAATGTCAAGTTTATATAAGTTTTTTAAAATTTAATAACACTAAATAGTTTTTAATTTTAAAATTTTGATAAATATATAAGTTATATTATACTTATATTATGAAACAAAAACTGAAACATATTTTTAGTTTTACCTGTGGTAAATTTTATATTGATTCGATATAATTTTTTCTATTTAAATTTTAAAAAACTTACATACTTTTATCAAAATTTGAATATATTATCAATACTTAAACTTTTCAAAGTAAAATTAAAAAATGTCTATTAATTAATAATTAATTATGCTAAAACAGTTAAACATATGAATAATATGACATTCATTACATTCAAATTATTTTTTTTAAAAGGAAAATAAAAATATTTTATATGTTTAAAAGCTTTGTATTTCAGAAATAATAACATGTCATATATTTTTTTTTATAAAAATAAATACATTTGTATAAAAAGTTAGACAAATATATTTATATTTTATATGTTTAAAATGTTTATGTTTATTTTTTATGTTTAAAATGTTTATGATATTATATAAAAAATATGATAATATTATTATTTATTTAAACATATAGAAAAATATGATAAATTATTATTTCTGACATATAAAACTTTTAATCATATAAAATATTTTTATTTTCATTTTAAAAAATTAATTGGATGTAATTAATGTCATATTATCCATATGTTTAACTATTTTAGCATAATTAGTTATTAACTAACAGACGTTTTTTAATTTTGCTTTGAAAAATTTAAGTATTAATTAAGAAATATATTCAAATTTTGATAAAAATAGTTAAGTTTTTTAAAATTTAAATATTAAAATTTTATATCAAACCAATATAAATTTTTTTGTACGTAAAACTAAAATATGTTTCAATTTTGATTTCATAATATAAGTATACTAAAAACTTATATTAGTTTGATATAAACTTTGGCATTTAAAATTTTAAAAACTATTTAGTTTTATCAAAATTTGAATATATTTATATTTTATATTTTTTTATTTTTATTTTTATTTATATATTTTTTTTGTAAAATATTTGTAAACTTAAGGTTTTTTATGATATTATCGTAATTTTAAAAGCTTCAGCTTCTAGTTTTAAAGAAAATTCCAACAAAAAAAAAGTTGTTGAGAATACAACTTTAGAACTTTTAAAATTTTAAAACAAAAGACTCGTAATTTAACAACTGTCTTTACATAGTGTCTAAAGAAAAGCTTCTGCATATTCTAACAAAATTACTTGGTTGTCTTTAAAAAATTATATATATATATATATATATATATATATATATATATATATATATATATATATATATATATATATATATATATATACACACACACCTTAATCTTATGTTCATAACAGTGTTTTTATGTAATTTTCTATAATCAAAAACTTACAATTGTTTTTACGAAACTAATATATTCAAATAAAAGTTATAACCCACAGAAAAAACTTATTTTTATATAGTATAAAAATACCGTGTCTATCCATTATTTGTTCAAATTGTTGCTGATATAATATTTTGGAGGTTTTAAAATAGTGTTTTAACCCCTTCTACAATAAGTCTACCATAAATGCCTGAAAAACGCTTTTTTAGAAGATAAAAATAGAAAATTATCGTTTTAAACCATTAAACGAGCTCAAATGACTAAAAAGCTCGTATATTTCTATTAGATATGTTTCAGTTTATGTTTTTAGACTTAATTAAATATGTATTGTAATTCTAAAAATATAATATTATATAAAATTTTATGGTTTTTCAAACCGGTTTCACAAACCAATTTACATAATGTGATTCCTTGTAGTTTCGATATTTTTTGTTTTGAAACTGGTTTTGGATCCAACCTGGTTTGACCAAAATCTGATTTGACTTTTATCAACTAAAATCCATTTTAGATCTGAAACCAGTTCAGATCCATAATAAAAATCAGTTTGTGTACATCTAAAATATATAAACGGATCAAACATGAACCGTGTTATAGACATCAATGACCAATCTATATAATTTGTAGTTGTTTTCGCATGTATTTAATCATTGGTTGAAAATCAGTTTGTGGACCAATCTATATAATTTGTAGTTGTTTTCGCATGTATTTAATCTATATAATCATGGACTTTTATCAACTAAAATCCATTTTAGATCTGAAACCAGTTCAGATCCATAATAAAAATCAGTTTGTGTACATCTAAAATATATAAACGGATCAAACATGAACCGTGTTATAGACATCAATGACCAATCTATATAATTTGTAGTTGTTTTCGCATGTATTTAATCATTGGTTGAAAACATTACCGCAATTGTATGCCTTGTTTCGTTGTAAAAGACACTGACCCATATTAAATGCACCCCAATCCCATGACATTTTAGCAATTCAATATTTTTTATAAAATAATTGAGTTTTAACCGCTAACTAGTGGTGCACAAAAAAATCGGTTCAAGATCTGAACCGGTCAAAGAACCGGTAAACCAGTTTATACTGAACCAGTCCACAGTGAACTGAACCGGTTTGAGAACCGAACCACCAGTTTACACCCATTTGAGAATTTTGTCATTGAAACCGGTTTAGAACCGGTATAGAACCGATCCAACAGGTTTAGAACCGATTGAACCGGTTTAGATAGGTTCGATTAATTTATTGAATGAACTGGTTTGAACCGAACCGGTTTGAGGCTGAACCAGTTTTCTTTGGCTATGGAGTGAACCGAACCGGTTTAAAGAACCGGTTCGATTTGAAAAAAATCCAGTTTGTGCATGCCTACTGCTAACCACTAAAATATTAGGAGGTGTTATAATTTTAAATGAAAAAAACTATATATTTATCAAAAATGAATAACGTAAGTTAATTTTATGTAGTTAATTAACAATTACAATGTATTCTACTATTTTCTTCTTCTACTTGTGTCATTTGTGTGGATAATTTAATTTACTTTAAACTAAGCTGGATCTTAATAAGAAACCCTTCCTAAGTAGCTTATCATTTTATTTTCATATATAAATACCTCCATCCATTAACCATTAATTATGCTCGAGTTCCCCTATGCTAGGCTTATACAGAGTTAGCTATATTAAAAAACAGTTACAATTACCCATTTAAGAAAGCATACTTATACTATATCCTATTAGCCTAATATATCTTTCTATTTCTGCAACATCCACAATTTATTTATAATAAAAACCCAAATACACAAAGCTATTTAATCAACCTTATTTATA